GCATCCACTCATCCATCTCCCATCCATCTATCCATCCCCCATCCCCCATCCATCCATCCATCCACCCATCCATTCATCCATCCATCCATCCCCCATCCTTGCCCCATTTATCCATCCATACATCCACTCATACACCTCCTATCCATCCCCCATCCATCCATCCATCCATCCAGGCATCCACAACCTCACAGCCTGCTTTGATTCTGCAACAAGAAGGTACTTATGCCTATCTGCACATGTATGTGCAGAGCACCATTATTCCCAATAACCAGAAGGTAGAAATGACCCGAATATCCATCAATGGAGAATGGATAAGGAAAATGAGGTATATCCATACAATAGAATAGTATTTAGCCCTAAAAATGAGGAAATTCTCACACATGCTACTGCCTGGATGAACCCTGAGGGCTCTATCGCTGAGTGAAATAATCCCATCACAAAAGGACATATCCTGTATGATTCCACTCATCTGAGGGACCCACAGCAGTCAGATCCATAGAGACAGAAAGGACAGGGGTACCAGGGGCTGGAGGCGGGCAGTGGGGAGTTAGCACTTCATCAGCGCATTGTTTCACTTTTACGACATGAACAGAGTTCTGGGCATGGGTGCTGGTGACAGACACACAACAGTGATTGACTCCACCCATTGCCCTGTACACTTACGAATGGTTGGTGGTAAACTTGATGCCGTGTGTACCTCACGATAAAACAAAACCTTTAGAAAAGTACATATGTGGGCCGGACTCAGGCTCCAGGGCCTTTGCACCTATGCCCCTTCCCTGCCAGGTGTGTGTCTGCAGGACAAGCCCCTGTAGCTCTATCCCAGGAATATTCCTAGAAACCACAAATCCTGGAGCAACCAGCCGGCCTGTGCCCTCACTGTGGGCTGTTTCTCACTTGCACCAGAGGAGCCCTGGGTCCTTCTAGAAAGGGCCTGCCTGTGTCTGGGGCAGGAAGTGTGCGAGATGCAGCCTCTCGTCATTAGCAACAACAAGGAAGTGACCAGGAGCACTGGGCCCACGGGAAGAGGACCCACGGGCCGGCGAGGAGAGCTCCCACGGGCCAAATACGGAATAATTTTGCAACACTAATAACTGAAGTGGTTTGAAACACATCAAACTATTTGAAAACTCAGGACTTTATAATGATACGAAGCAAAACCACCTAGTGGCTCTTGGAGGAAACGAGGTGTGAAGGACTGAATATTTGTGTCCCCCTCACTTGTGGAAATCCTCATCCCCAAAGTGACGGGCTGGGTGCTGGGCAGGAGCAGGGCCAGGCCGGGGCTCTGTTCAGCCACTAGGGCTATTCGTGAGGGAGTGAGCGCCCTGTCACGGGCGGTGTGAGATGCAAGAGGGGCCGTAGGAAGACTTCTGTGGTGTGGGCTGCCTCTGGAGACTTCTCTGGCCCCTGGAGTCAGTTCTCCTCTCTAGTCCATAAATGGGGAAACCGAGGAGCCTGTGATGAGCCGATGAAATGCAAGGCATCATTTCTTCCCTCCGCTGCACCCG